AGGATTTTAGAAAAAAATCCAGTTTTAATTTAACATAGTATGTTATCTTCCTTAAAGTTTTGATAGTTTTTTCATTTAAAAAAAAATTTTTTTTAAATGGGGATTTTCCCATAAAACCCCATAAAATAACAGAAAAATTGGATTTTCCCAAAAACGGCTCGAACGATTTTGATACAAATTTGGTATGTTATAGTCCTTTATATTCTGAACAAAATGGTACGAATCCTATTTCTGTAAAAATTACGGTTCAAGAGTTATTGTAAATTATGATATTTTCCCATAAAAACCCCATAAAATAACGGAAAATCAGATTTTCACAAAAATGGCCCGAACGATTTTAATAACAATTTTATATGTTATAGTCCTTTAAATTCTGAACAAAATTGTACTAATCCCATTTCCTTCAATTTACTCTCACCGCTTACACATGAGGTTGTTGACAAACTTATGGGAGAAAGTATGTGTCAGCATGCTGATACCGTTTATTTTATGTTGAGCTAGGCTGATTTAATGTTTATTATTAGGTTATTAATATTTTTCTCTACTGACCACACATCTTGATAAAGTGGTCAGTTATATTTCCAATACTATAATTGTTTATACTTTGTAATTTTTTTATGGAAATAAAATAATTTATTCATTTATTCTTATAAATGTATTGAGTTAAGAGGATAACCCATAACCTTAAGGCAGATGAAGTGCTTATCCAAGTGGTTATTTTAAAATACCTCATTGCATATTGATGATTTTAACTTAAGATACATGAATAGTTATGTTAGTTTATCTGCTTTATAAATGCATTTATTTTTACAAATTTTGTGTAAATTTAATGCTGCAGCCAATATGTAGACTAGGCCAAATTTTTTATTAGACCTATGTTAACAGGTACTAATAATTAGTAACCATATAACTTAAAAAAGTTTTTATATACTACATATTTAGGCCTAGGCAGAGTTAAATCTAACCATGCTTTTTAGACCACCCAGTATTGAAACATTAGGGAGTTGCCTAAATAATAAAAGTAGGGAACTCTTCACCAATATAGAAAAGGAAAACAAATGAACGGTATCAGCAATCTGACACATACTTTCTCCCGTTAGCTTGTCAACAACCTTTATCATGGCACATGAGTAAGCGAAGCGGTGAGAGTAACTTTGACAATTTAAAGGGAAAATCACAAAAGTTGAAATATCTTTTGAACTGTAACATTTACATCAATGGGGGTTGTACCATTTTGTTTATAGCTAAAAGGATTAATCATACACACAATTTGCATCAAAATTGATTAAGTTTTTTTTAACCCAAATTTTTGAATGAATTAATAGGTTTTTATGGAAAAATATCCCAAAAGTTACAATAACTTTTGAACCGTAATCTTTTCACAGGGTGTCCACCAGGCCAAGCAGAAAAAATTCATGAGTAATTCATGAGTAAAAAAAAATCCAGGTAGTTCAGGTCGTACTTTTCATATTAAAATTTCCAACGTGTTTTGCGCCAACTCTCAGAATGCTGTTTTAGCGCTAACACAGCTCGCTATTTTAGTTATCAGAAAGAGCATTCTCAGTTAAGGCGAAAAAAATTATGATTGCTGTAATATTGCCTGACACAAGTATTCAATTTTTATATATTACTGATTAAATAATCCAAAAATTAAAAACTAATCCTTAAACCTGCAATTTATTAATAATTTCCTAAAAATAGTGATATGTCGATACCAAAATTTATCGAATCTCTGTACAGACACCTGAAAAATAGATTCTTAATACTGATCATAACAATTTTTACAAATTTTCTGAAGGATTACTACACCAACCCCTGGCTTTATGTACTTTTATATAGTATAATTTTGGAGTAATGGGTTGTTTTCCAAGTAGTCTACAGAAATAATAATGCATAAATTACAAAAATTGCACGTAACCAATTTATGTTTTAAACCCTTCTAAACAAATTAAATAAACACCACGTTAAAGGTAGATGAAGATATTACAAAAAAATATAAACAAAACTTTCTAGGTGTGTGCCATTTTAAAATTTTTGGTCAAGCCAAACTCGAGGTTATATTATTAACACAGTCGTAGAGACACCCTCATCGTTTTCTGCAATAACTGAAAAATCCTGAATATCTCACTCAGTAACAGAAAAATCACCACTGTCTTCCAAGGTTGTGAAAAAATCCTGATATTGTTCAGCGGTAACGGAAACATTATAATCGTCTCCCGCGATCACAGTAAAGTAATCATAATCTTCCTCGATTGTAGCTTAATTAAAATAATTTCCCACGGTCATCATCGTCAACCAATATTGTTGGACATCATCATCGTTTCCCACAGTCACGGAAACGTCATCATTTGCATGCGCGATCACGGAAACGTCATTGCGTCTCCCGTGGTCACGGAAATATCATCGTTGTCTCCCATGGTCACGGAAACGCCTCGTTGTCTCCCGCGGTCACGGAAATGTCATCGTCGTCTCCCGCGGTCACGGAAACGTCGTCATCGTCTCCCACGGTCACGGAAACGTCATCGCCGTCTCCCGCGGTCGCGGCAAAAAATTCCCGGTTAAATACAAAATTCATGCATAGTTCCCGGTTTTTTCCCGATTCAAAAAAATCACGCATAATTCCCGGTTTTCCCAGTCGGTGGACACCCTGTTTCAGCAATGGGAGTTATATACCAATTAATACAATCCTTATAAGAAGAGAAATACAGGGTGTCTAGTTTATTTCCATTACAAAATTCAAGACTAATTCCAGACTTTTCAAGACTAATTCCAGATTTTTCAAGACTAGTTTTTTCAACAATTAGAGGGTGTTGATACCAAAATGTATCAATTCTCGATTCTCGATACCGATACAAATTTTTATAGCTTAACCAAATTTTCTAAATAATACTACACCAACCCTTGTCTTTGTCATAAAGTAGTATTATGATAATGTTGTGTTTTCAAGTAAAGAAATAATGCAGCAATAAAAAACTAAATAGCAACTAGCAAATTTGTTTTTTTTTTATCATGAAATCTTCCACGTACCGTACGTTTCATCATTGACTGCAGCGGTTACAGAAACGTGATCGTCGTCGTCCACGATCACGGCAAACGCAGTCACGGAAACGTCATCGTCATCTCCCGCGATCGCGACAAAATCATGAATTTCCCGCGGCCGAGCAGATATCATCGTTGTCTCCCGCGGTCACGGAAACGTCATCGTCATCTCCCGCGGTCACGGAAACGTCATCGTCGTCGTCCGCGATCGCGGCAAAATCAACAACATTTCCCGCGGCTGTTTAAACATCACCGTCATCTCCCACGGTCACGGAAACATCGTAGTCGTCCGCGATCACGGCAAAATCATGATTGAACATTTCCCGCGGCCGTGTAGACATCATCGTCGTCTCCCGCGGTCACGGAAACGTCATCGTCACCTCCCGCGGTCACGGAAACGTCATCGTCGTCGTCCGCGATCGCGACTAAATCATGAACATTTCCCCCGGCCGAGCAGATATTATCATCATTGGCTTTCGCGGTTACGTAAACGCAAGACGACGATCGCGGCAAAATCATGAAAATTCCCGACTTTGAAATCAAATTTAAGACTAAATCCCGACTTTTCAAGACCATTTTGAAATTCAATACTAATTCCCGACTTTCCCGATTTTCCCGACTACTAGACACTCTGGAAATACCTATGAAAAATATTCAGACTCGAATTTTTCTGCACTTCCCTATCTCTCCAAGCCGATTCTTTGTCCAACTCTCTCTGATTCAGTCAGTTGACTTGGCCGCGCTCGCGATAGTGGTGCCTTCGCTACCTAGCGGCCGTCGCAGGAACTATCAGAAATTCAAATATTCCCAGACTGAATTTTAAAGATAGGCATTGCACTTATTATAAGGTCTGTATTCATAGGTTATACCTTGTTCAGAGTAAAAGGAGTATAGCATACTAAATTGTAATCAAAATTGTAAGGGCCAATTTTGAGAGAATTTGATTGTTTTGTTTTTTATGGGTTTTTATAGAAAAATTACAATAAAAAATCTAAATTTGAACAAATTAAAAAAAAAACCCTGGAGATACCATGGATTTGTACCCAAAAAGCAAATTTCCTCACAATCATAAGCCTCGCTCACACGGGGCGAGTTTAAAAGCCATTCGCCAGCAAGTAAGAACCCAGCGAGTCGGCGAGTGCGCTTGTATTCGTTCACACGGAGCTTGTCCACTCGCCGACGTGTAGAAAGAAGCCGGCGAGTTTGGAGAGTGTGCTTGTATTCGTTCACACGGAGCCTGTCCATTCGCCGACGTGTAGAAAGACACCGGCGAGTTGGCGAGTGTGCTTGTAGTTGTTCACATGATACTTTTTCCACTCGCTCAGTAGCTGGCTTGAACCAAATTCTCCAATATATTTGAATAACATGCGCACAAGCACAAGCAACTGTGTTCACACTGGGCTACTTTACACGCCTACTCGCTCAAAAGCTGGCGAGTTGACGTGTAAAGTAGCCGCAGAGTCAACTTTTTCCAGAGCTTTTTTACAAGCAGCTTTTGAGCGAGTGTGTCATTCACACTGAGCTATGTTACTAGCTGCGTGTAAAAAATCCAGCGTTTAACTTGGAAACTCGCCCCGTGTGAACAGGGCTATGCCCAAGGTGTGGTCTGTAGCTATGTATACAGCCACACAAACACAAACAGACAAGCAGACACTTTTGTTTGTGAACTTGTTTGAAACAATTTGAAAACTTTTTTTAGGTTCAGGGGGACGAAATAAAAAAAATAAAATTTTTTTTGGGATTAATGACAAAAAATTAGTGTAGGGGGAGAAAGTAAAAATCGAAGTATTTTTAAGATGAATTAGTTTACAACAGATTATCCGCCTGGATGATCAGACTTGATAATGATGGTTCTACTATTAAAAGATGTTTACGGTCTAAACAACAGCCAAAACTATATAAACAGAATCATGAAGTAGCCTATGCCTAACTAACTTATAGTGGGGGAAGGCAAAATTTACCTGTAGCTGGTAAGGCTTGCCAGCTCGCACCATTGCGTTGATCAACTGACTGGTGTGGTAGAAGTGTACATTTTCATCAATCAACCCATGAATGATCAACAGTCTGTTTTCACTGTAAAAAATACAACCATTCTTAGTATAAACAAATTAAAATTCACCTGCAAGTTAAACCTAAATAAACAACCTTACTTACGTTTCTTTAAAAAATAATAATTAATAGAATGATTCAACTGAACAAAACTAGCATTAAAATTGTCTTCAGTTGATCCTTATGAATAATGAAAGAGAATAATAACAAGACCAGGGTTTGGACAGTTCCCTTTCAAAAAGTAAAAAAATGCAACTGGCGTAAAAACACACAAAATAAAAAAAATAAAAAAAGTAAGGACAAATCGTCAAATTAAATTGAATCTAAGAATAATTTAAAAATAACTAGTAAAACTAATACAACAGTAGTAGGTTTATTCTAGGAAAAAAACGTATAGTTACCAAGGAACTAAGGACCTGATTGATCAAATGATTGTGAAGGATTTGTATAGAGAGATGTCATTTATTGTGCTAGGATAGCACATTGTAGAAGTGTGCAATTGTGAGTGGTGAATGAATGCTTAGCTTATTTTGTTAGCTATAAATATGACAGTTGTATGAAAATTATTTTTATAATTTTCAATATTGGGGGCACTATTTTTGAAATGGTTGAGTTGAGTGTTAAGTCACTCACTTTCCAATCTTTCGTATTTTTCAAACGATTGACAGTTGACTTATCCAACCAAAACTAGTCACCACCAATTGAGCTGTTGAGTGGATGGTTGACTGCACTTTCTTCTTCATCTCTCGGCAAAATTGCTCTATTTAAGTCTACGCCATATAATTATTGCTTTGTCTACTAATTGCTATTTGCGATTAGAGAATATGCATTTGTTGTCATTGTCATGGCACCCAATACTTATTTCGATTGTTTTTTGTAGAATAAATTTCATTTTTATTTACTGTGTCACTACTAGACAATCAAAAATCAAGGGTTGTATCCTTGTTGGGATGTTTGCAACACTTTGAAATAGACTAGGCCTACTAATTGAACTTGTTATTATGATTTATTAAAGATTGTGATTAAGAAAAACAATAAAGTTAGTTAGTTAGTCTGTTTCGATACCGTAATTCTCCTAATAAAAGGATCCAATTTATTTAATTTGCATTATGTTTTCAGTGCAATAGCAAATATCCAAAGCTTTAACTTAAACAAAAACATAATTAAAAATAACATGAAACAAAACGATGAAGGGAACTAAAATAAGGTGATTTGTTTTTAAATAGAGACAAAGAAAGCAAATAATTTATTATGGGTACATCTATAATGAGCTATAGCTATAAACAAGCCTCCATAGTTAATTTTATTTTGAATACTTAAAGGTTCTTTTGCAATCACTAAGACATAACCTTAATCTTTCACGGACAGAGCTGACAGTTTACCTCAGTTTCTTGAAATATAGCAGATTGAGACTAGCTGAGAAAAGGATCCAGAATTTAGAGTGAGAGGTTAGATCAAAGCTCGCAAGCCACTGTGATTGGTTCAAAATTAAACTGTCAACCATTTCAAAAATAGGGCCCCTGATGTGGAAAATCAATAAACTTGGTATCATTAACTCACTCATCAGGGAATTGGTTGATGTAGTTTAGCACACAGCCAGCTTTGTACCCTTGAAGATTGTTTTGAGGCATGTCCATATAACGTTCTGTGTAACCCGTATCATAGAGATTCCATGATGTAACAGGTGCGCCTGCGATTGCCACCTGAAAGTATTGCATTAGCTATTTTAATTATAATCCTAATATTGCAAATGAGTTTTGAAAGTACATGGTGTTTGTAAAAGAATGTCGGAATTTAAAACGGTTGTTGCTTGGGTTATTCAAGATAATTAAATGATTTAAACGTCAAATTGAAGGGAAAATTTCTTTGACTATATCGTCTAGAGATGTGCGAGCACAGGTTTTTCAGATTGGCAAAAGATTTGATTCTCGAGTTCGAGTCGAGTTTAAACCAAAAATATCGAAGGATGTGTAAGTTTAAGTAACTCTTTAGGGCTAGAGCATGTAACTTGTAAAACAACCCTGTTACAAGCTGAAGTACGATTATAAAAATAAATTAATCATCAATATTTGTGCAGTAACATACCTATCAATGCGTAGAAAATAATTTTAAAACAACAACAATAGAGCTCATAAATGAACTTTCTACTTCTGTGAAAAATAGGTAAGTGAGCATATATTTATTTATCTACAAATTAATTTCATTAATCCCTATTGATAAGTAATATTGCATAATACTTGGCTAAAATTACTTAATACTTGCATCTATTAGTTATTAAGGTTGCAATTAATTACAATAAAAAGTTTAATATAGAGATTTGTTCTACAACTTGAAATTTTATTTGCTACCTTTTCACCTTTAGTTTTGTAAGTTTATTAACATTAATCTTGTTGGTGTGGTTTTTGTGACAGTATGCCTACAAAATTTCCAATGGTTTGACAATGGGTAAAGGAGAAATAAATTTTTAAATTAAAGAAAATTAAATTTTTTAATATTTTTTGTTAATTGTAAACAAATATTCTGTCAAAATACTCAAAATGTATGTTCAAAATAAAGTAATTAAATAGGCCTACAAGTAGCCTACCTTACTATGTTAAACAGAACAATAATTATTGTAGATTAAAAGTTGTACTGAATAATGTAATAGGTCCATACAATAGTAGTTATAGAACTCAAATGAAACCTAGACTAGGCCTAATTCACTATAATTCTCCCCAAGAAAGAATGGAAAAACAAGATAAAGTATAATGATGTTTTTATATCGTTATCTTTAATCCTTATTAGAAGTGTTATTATTATCTTTATGTGTGATTTTATACTTGTTTATGATTTGTCTGTTTTAAAAGTTTACAGAATAATAATTTTCAATCACGGGAACATCAATTTATAATGATCCAATTTATAATTATCGACTTATAACAGATGCGTTATAAAGGTCAATGACTCAAAACATCATGATTGCGCAATGTTGTATTTTGAGTAAAAATGCAAATCATGACATTAACTCTAATTTGAATAATATTTCTCCTGGTCCCTTGCAGGTTGTATTATCAATGCTAAATAATTGTGGAAAATTCAAATTACATTTTTGATGATTCAAATCTCCTAAAGACAAAAGTCAAACCAGGCAAGGAAAAAACCTGCTATTGTAATTTGTAATCCCCCTACCCGGCCATTTGGGAAGTGGTGAAAGTCTAGTCTAAATATAGCTCAAAAGTCTGACCCTCCCCCTTCCCCCCAAACCCCTACTTCATTCACTGATGCTATGCCCGCTCACTTCGAGGTCATTGCACAACCCCTCCCTCCCTTCTATTGTTTTCCATTGCCAGTCAGTCAGTCACCGGTGACTACTTTGTGTTGACCTATTCTGTTGTAACAGCTATAAAAATAGGTTAGGACAACTACCTCTTGCTTATTATTTCTACACTGTAAACATGTACTGTAGAATCTACAGCAATAAAAATTATCCAGCATTTTATGTAAACACAAGTTACATTTTAACAAAAATTGATTTTTTAACAATTTTAAACCAAACTCGACTTGAAACTGCCGAGTTCAAAGATAAGCTCAAGTTTCAAGGCCGTACTCGACTCGAACTCGAAATCTCTAATATCATCACTTGTTTTTAGCCGGCCAGGTGAATGTCTTTTCAAAACACTACGGTAACACAAAACTCATTAAGCCAGTGTCAAATTTCTTTATCATCAAGTAGATTTAAATTTAGTTTTAACTAGCTGCACCCACGGGCTTTGCCCCGCTTAACTTCATAAGTATTCGCATGGCTCAATAAAGTCTTTGTTGAAGTTCGTTCGCTACGCTCACTCACCTTCAGGTTAGAGATCGTTCGCTTCAGGTTAGCTCGTTCACTACGCTTACTCGCCTCCAGGTTGATGTTCGTTCGCTACGCTCACTCACCTTTTGGTTGCAAATTAGCTGTTGTCATAAATTTAAAAAAGTCATCCCTTTAATTGTTTATAATACTTTGATAAAGGTTTTTATGTTTTTAATATTTAACATTTGAGAATTTAAACGTTGTTGAGTACACAGGTGTGCTGCGATTGGGGTTAATACATTTGGACTTATTCAAAAGTAAAATAGTTTTCTGTGCTGCACTCTGTAGAAACACTGTGGCACTATTTCAAATCATGACTAATGCTAATACAGAATGTTGTGATTATTCAAACCTATAAAACAGTTGGTGAAAGTAAACATCTGCTTTTAAATTATATTTATTTGTAAACATTGTAGATAAAAAAGTCTGACATTGGCCCACTTAAAACCCTATGGGGCAGAGCCCTTTTGACGGATCTGCACCAAACTTCACTCGAACCATCCTTGAAAGATGCTTAATAATGCCTGAAAGTTTCATTACAATCTGTCGAGCGGTTTTGGAGTCCATAACGTATATATACACACACACACACATACATACATACATACATACATAGTTCCTCTTTTATAGATATAGAAGATTTAGCAATAAACTCTGTGAACCACATTTACACTACATTTCAGATAACACTCTGTGCCTTCTGTTGCGCCGTAAACATTGCACTGGTGACGTGTCAGGCGTGTGAGTCGCAATAGCGGCCTATCACCGTGCACCTGTTTGGCTCATGCCAAGGTCAAAGTTTCCTCCCTGCTACATGGGAAACAAAACTTAGTTATTTTAGCTTCAATTTGACTTATAAAACATTTAGTTACCTTGAATAGTATCCAAGCAATTGCCAGTTAAAATCTCGGCATTCTTTTATAAACACCCTGTTATTAACATTACCAAAAGGTCTAATCCCGTATCAGTAAACCAAAGCCCTGTAAATACTTCAATGCCAACATCTTCACCAAAGTAGCTGATTTTCATTATGAATTATCACTAGTTTTGCATATTTTCTTCTGTTTGTGACGTACTTTTTCCACACTGAAACATATAACACTATTACTTCACCAATGAACTATTACGATCTCGGTACTCTACTTTAGTATGGTAAGAGCTCTTGAGTGATCGCTATCGTAGCTGGTGAGGAACTGTCCTGTCTCGTGGCTGGTGAGGAACTAACTTTTCTACCCGCCGTCTGAGGGTTCCCCGAATCATCCCTCTCGCTCCCCTCTCTAGCAAAGTAGGGGGCTCAGCTGATCCCAGACGTCTGCTGTTTGCTAACCCGAAAAAGCTAGCCGGCCGCCGTCGTCTGCAGCCGCTAAATAGTCAGACACTCGAGCTTGTTGTTATTGTGTTGACTGTAGGTTATGTTGTGTTTGTTTCACACGACAATAAGTTTTAACTTAAAGTTGTCGGTTTATATTGCTTACCCCGCATTTCCTCACGTCTTTGAAACCGATTATTGGCCTAAGGCCATGATCTGTGGGTTTACTAAGTGTAGAAAGTGTCGTCGAAGTACTAAGCCGAGTTGAGCCCTAGCTTGCAAAACACATCGCTGGTGAGTCAATAAGCTATACAACTCTGTATAAGGTTTATATCACGCTCATACAGACTTAATAACTTTCGTTCTACACTTATTTATTACCAAACACAACAGTGTATCATGCCTATAATAACTAGTGAAGTTATAACTAAGTTTAGCCTTCTAACCTATAACCTTAGTTAGGGCTGGTAGGCTATGCCTAGGGATAGGCTAGACAGATGAATAGGCTAGTTTGACCCCCCCTCAAAATAGGCACGTTACACTCCCTACCAACTTCGGGTGCAAAAAAAAAAAAACAGCAAAAAAACGCCTGTTACTCCAGGGTCAGGTTGGCTCATCGCACATCCTGCCTGCTACCTCTGACGGTTTTCTCGTCTTCACTCTTCGTCTTTTGGGCCAAGGATGGTTTATCACACACCTGCCATCTCGTTCGTTCTTCCGTCTATTAATGGTCACTTCAACACACTTCAACGACGGTTCTTTTAGAGGAATCCTCTCCTCCTCTCGTTCGATGATACATCTTATTTTGGGACTAGATGGCTTATCGCTCATCATACCCTCGGGTCAGTTTGGCTTAACGCACAATCCCTGCCCAGTGTCACCGCCCCTTCCACCGCAGTGATCTCGTGGCGGCCTTCCATCCATTAGTTGCCGCCCCCGTATTCGTTACTGGCAGCTCCTTGCCGCCCAGTGGGCTGTGAGTCTTCCTGACCAGCCTAAAAGAAAATGAGGAAAAACAAAACAAAAGAAAATAAAGGCTCCTGCCTGAAGTAAAAAAACAAAACTGAAGAGTGCCGTCCTCTTCCTGACGTCAGTGGATTAGGGGTTTCACACACCCTGCCACCCTTCGATGCTCCACACTGTCCTGGGCCCTGTTTCATAAAACTACTAGTCTAGTATTTACTAGTCCATGGACTAGTAATACTAGTGTATTTTACAAGTCTACGTTTCAAAAACCTACTAGTGTAAAATACTAGTTACTAGTGTAGGGACTAGTATTACTAGTGGTTTTTACAAGTGTACACAGCAATGTGTTTCATAAAGTTTTACTCTTGTAAATTACACTGGTAAATACTTGCCATTTTCTAACAACCTCTCTACACCCGTATTATTTGAAGTAGACTAGTATTTTTGGAAAGCGAGTTATTTCATTACTCACATTATTCAAAAAAATGAATTATCAAGTTCTTTTTGCAAGTGCGAATTGGCTCACGTTTGCAGTTTAAGATAAAAATAGATCTATGAGGGCTAAAATGATAATTATTATTAGATATAAATTACAATCAATAAATGTGGCGTAGTACAAAAAGAGTGAAATTAATGTATGTACAATCGCCCTATTAGAATTAATTATAATTATAAGTTATCAATATCTGTGAAATTTTAGTCTAATTTTACTTGAGTTAAATTTCATGGTTATATCAACTATTTAGCTATCACAGAGAAAAGATTTTTAAGCTTTGAGTTTGAGAGAAACCAAATTAAAACCGCATACCGTATTGCATACAAAGATGTACAAAAATGTATCCAACATTAAAACATTAATCAGATTATTTTACACCCAAGGCTCTCGGTTTTATTTAAAGACATTTTAATAGGAAATAATAGTACGACAATTTAAAAGAGGAGTTGCATTGTATTTTTTTGTGTGCTTATTATTTGTTTCCCTAAATAGCTAAAACCCTGTGATGTACTAACAATTTTGTAGACCAATATTTGATTTTTGGGCGTTGGACTGAACTGCTTATCATAAAAACATTACTTTTAATCCATTTTGGTATTCTGAATTTGTTATTCAAAGTAATAAAAAATTAGATGTTGATTAGAGCTGTTATTTAAATGTAAAACATGTAAAAGTTTAATTAATGGAACTAAAGTATAGTGAGTGGTGCGGATTTGAACCAGTGACCCACCACATGAGAAGCGAAAACTCTACCTCTGAGCTACGCCCTGCAATAGTGACTGTGCCATGTTTTACTATACTTGAAAATCTACTTCTCCATTGCTTGTAACGGCTGCAATTATTTGTTACATCAATAAACGTTTAGGCTTATTATTCATGGTTTGTAGACTCAAAATTAGAATATCACAGAATGGTTTTTAACCCAAATATTCTTATGCATTCGAATATTTGAAAACATAGGTTAGGGTACTTGAAAACGTTCCTAACAAAATGTCCTTAGACGATTTAATTACATTCAAAATTTGAGCCTTCTTTTCTTTACTCATAGCAAGCTTAATTTTTATATGTCAGAATAAAACAAAAACTATACAAATCACAGTGAATGCGGCAGACACAGTTCAATTTCCACCCAACTGTTGAGCGCCGCAACTAGGCCTACAATCACCGTGTTGATTGCAGCGACGCGACGCCGCGCCGGCGGGCTCATTGATGAACATAAATAATAGCGGTTTGATAAATAATGTGTGATTGTTTTACTTATGTGTCTATATATTTATTAATTAAAAGAAAACACTGCGTTTCTACAACTATTTACTTTTTGTATAAAATGAAAACAAAATTAAAACCCTTTATAAAGGGTTTGAAAACCCGTGATTGAGGTTAGAAATTTGTTTTGAAAGTTTACCTTGTAAAGTTGGTCACGTGACTAGTAGTTTTGGTCACGTGACTAGTAAAATACACTAGTATTTACTAGCGGTATAAAAACGTTTATGAAACACAAATTAGTAGGACAGGTAAATACGGGACTAGTATTTACTAGACTAGTAATTACTACACTAGTATCTTTATGAAACAGGGCCCTGGTGACGATTCGCCGACATCTCACTCTGTCGGGGGGTTTATTGGTCTCTGCACCTCCCAACAGGTTTACGGATAACTCCTGACATGATAGGGCTCCAGGTCTTTGACGTGGCAGACTTGGACTTCCTGCTTGTCAGGGTCCCGAACTTCGTAAAGGTTCGCTCCATGCCTCTTAACTACCTCAACGGGTCCGCTGAACTTCGGTGCGAGCTTGCCCACGACTGCGTCGGCCGCAGATGAAAGGACCCTCAGACGTCTTAACACGAGGTCGCCAGGACCTCCCGTCTCCGGAGGTTATAATACCTGGCTTGTCTCTCGTAGGCCGCCTTCAGGTTTTCTCGAGTCAGCTGGTAATGTCGGCTAAACTCGCGGTCGCGGTGAATTTCGTCTAACGCCGGCTCACGCTCCTCAGTTGTCTCCTGAAGTGGAGGACCTCGCACGGCGTTAGGCGCTCTCAACTCACGGCCGAGGAAAAGCATCGCCGGCGTGTGCCCGGTCGAGTCATGGACTGCCGAGTTCATGGCAAACTGGAATTCACCCATGTGCACATCCCAGGACCGATGATTATCTTTCACGAATTGTAAAACATGGTCTTTACCACCCGGTTAGCTCTCTCCACCGGGTTCGAATGGGGACTGTAGGGAGCCTATTTGTGTACTTGATGTTCTAGGCTGCCGCCAGGGTTTTGAACAGTCCCGAGACAAACTGCGTCCCATTATCGCAGATCAGGGTCTCGGGTGCCCCGTACCACAGTATGACCTCCTTAGTCTCCGTAACTACACTCCTGGCTGTGGCAGCTCCAATGGGGCACAACTCGACCCACTTGCTAAAGGTGTCTTGCAGCACCAACAGGAAACGATGCCACCTGCCTGACCAGGGCAATGGGCCCACCAAGTCAGCAGAGACAGTGCAGCACGGGCCCTTCGGACTACGTAGGTACATCTTTCCCGCCGGTTTGACCTGCTCCACCTTATAGCGTTGGCACACATCGCAGGAACGCACGTACTCTTTGACCTCTCTCCTCCAGTTTGGCCAATAGTAGCTGGCACTGATTCTGGCTAGGGTTTTCTTCACATCTAGGTGTCCAGCTGTTGCCGCGTCGTGGTTTTCTCGGAGGACGTCCTTTACCTTGTCAGACTTAACACATGTCTTCCAGATGGACTTAACACATACTACCACTCCTACGTCTAGCATTTGTCATTAGGCTATCGATAAAACCAATTTTTACCCCATAGAACCCCCTGTAAAACCCCGTTCCTATGGCCCGATCATGTTGGTTCGCGAACTCATTCAAGGTTATCCTGCCCTACACATTCAAGCCGAATTTCATCAAAATCGGAAAAATTACTCAAGTTATCACTCTTACGGACACATACAGGGTGTTTTTTTTTAAACTTGCATCTTTATTTATGTAAAAACCGCAATAGATAGAAATATGCAGTTGGCGGGAATCATCTATTGACGTAGGGGGCACAATTTTTTTGAATTCAACGTTACATTCACATTCCCCCCCTTTCCCCCCCTGCCCACAACTTATTTTTTTTAAATAGCAAGGTACCCCTTGTGACATATCAAATAAAAGAGCATGAAAAAAGAAAATGTTTGACGAAAAAAAATTGAAAATCGGTTCATAAATTTGTGAGATATTCCCCCTCTCCCCCCCCAGAACTTAATTTTTTTTAAAGCAAGGTACCCCTTGTGACATATCAAATGAAAAATAAATTTCACCAAACATTTTCTTTTTTCATGCTCTTTCATTTGATATGTCACAAGGGGTACCTTGCTAGTAAAAAAAATTAAGTTCCAGGGAAGGGGGGGGGGGGAAATATCTCGCAAATTTATAAACCGATTTTCAATTTTTTTTCATCAAACATTTTCTTTTTTCATGCTCTTTCATTTGATATACAAGGGTGCATGAGAGAGACCAATGTCCGGATAAGAGGGAGTCTATTGTACGTAAGCAAGACGTGGCCAACGTGATGACGTTGCCGGTCGGTTGATAAATGTATTTTTGTGAGTTTTGTAATGACTGTTTTATTTTAATATTTAAGATGAAGCATTAGCAGATTACCTGATGTTGTCACTGTGTTGATAAAACTCATAGTAGACTACAACAAACTTGGAATGCCAGAAGGTAACATTAATATTTATTTAATAATACTGTATTTCCAATGTGTATTATTGTGTAACCAATTGTTCCATTATAGAATTTGCTGTCTTGGAATGATTTGGTAGATTTCGTTTGAAAATCACTTAATTGTAAGTTTGACCATAGACAAAAAGGATTAAATATAGACTGTCAGCCGTGCTGTGGTTACCATGCTAACCATAGGTTCTGGCACACACCGCTAGCAGCGCCGTGTAGTTACGTAGCGTGTACGCCGTAACTACATGGCGCCCCAAGTGGTGTGCGCCAGAACCTATGGTAAACGCAGCACAGCTTGACGGTCTATATTTAATTCTTTTTGTCTATGGTTTTACTTATCAATGTACCTTGAAAATATGAGGTTTGGTGGCTAAAGCCATTAGACTGATGTAGCCTCCATAGGACCAGCCATGAATGGCAACTCTCTCCATGTCAAGGAACTGCAGCCTTTCAGCTAACCACTGCAACACTTCTATCTGGTCTTCTAGCTCCACAGTACCCTAAAATAGTAATAGTCACAGTTAATCATCACAACCCATGCCATCATAATACCTAGTTTATTGCCTAAAACATTGTGACAGTAGGCGAGTTGTCACAATCATCAGTTACACAGCAAGGAATTTCAAATAGTTCAAGCTATATTAACAATCTATATTATTAATACGCAGGGCCGCCGCGTAGTTTATTGGCACCGGGGCTAGATGTTGTCAAGCGCTCCCTCCCGAAACACACAATGAGTGATGATTGTTATACAAAGTTGCGTTGCTATTTGCGTTTCAATGCGCAACAACGGACACTTGAACGGATTGAATAACCTTACAAAAATACTAGAGTCAGGAATCAGGGATTAAACTACTTACATGTTTGATAAAATTTGTTTTAATAGATGACAATCAAATCCATACATATAATGTAAGAAAACATTAAAGCCTAAAAAAGTACTATACATGTTATTAATTAATACAGTGCTAATCAAAATTAATGCAATGGTAAACAAAACCTCAAACCAAATCTACTCTGAATAGAATATACAGAATAACAGAATTAAATAAAAACACGTTGTGCCAGTGCATAACAATGTTTTTTTGTTTTTTCATTAGGTGAATAAATATATAAAACTTATATATAAGTTTTTAAGCATACCTACCGCCACGTGAGCATGCAACCATAGACTAACCAACACAAGTAGACTTCTCATCCCATTGTAAATTTTGAAGCTCGTTTTTCATGTCTAGTTCATGTACGCCACACTGGGCGCTAGTGTCGACGAAATTTTGTTTCTATTATTTTAGGGTTAATTTCTTGATTTGGGCTTTACTGTTTGGTTAAATAACTAGGGGACAATTTATTGTTTATGATTAGATCGTATTATTTGGTTAAACGAGGTTTTAAATGACTGTATTAACGGGAAACAAATTGTAAACAAAACACGACCTCTACTTAAACCGTACAGAACTAACAATAAAATTGTCTTCAGCTGTTCCATTAGGATGAAAAATCTACTAAGGAAGTATGTTTTATCTATGATGCAACATACAGCAGTCCGTGTGAAAAGTATGAATTTTCTAAATTTAAACCGATGATGGTCAGGGATTGCCCTAGTGCTTTATAATGATGATTGCAAAAGCAAGACACAAAGGAAATTGTAGTTGCTTAAACGAGCTGTTGGCCCGCCCTACATACGGGAATCGAGTAGTCCATTAAAACTGTATATAGTGTGTCTATTACTAATTCAAGCATAGTTTAAGCAGTTCAAAATTTGTAGTAAAGAAAAAGCTGCCAAGAAGAATTAAAACATGTGATCATTGTTATTTTCCCAACCTAGTTGAGTAGTCAAATAATTTTCATAAGCTTTCTTTTGAAGATTTGTCAGCTTCGATTCGTATACAGCAATAGTTTTAGACTCTTACTTATTTCCTATAATTTTTTACTATCAATTCTCCACTTCAGTCAATCAATGACAAAATCACAGAGTAAATAAACTAACGTCATAGTTATATAAAATATTTTTTTATTCAACCAGCTGTTAGTTATAACAAATAATATTGCACTAAAACAAAACTAAATATTTTAAAGACTTCTCAAAAAATTAAATTAAAACATCTAGTATTTTAGTAAGTATATTTAAATAATCTCTCATCCTCTTACCAAATAAATGAACGTATAAATCATTATAGCATTACACATAGTATAAATAACTCAATTCTACGTATGTCATTTCATTTTCATCCAAATGCTGAATTTGAGTCAAAAACCCTTATAATTATTAATTATTACTTATTAATGTTTACAGCTGTTACGCTAAGCAAATGGTATTATACCAAAAGCTAGAGTAGAATCGTTGACTATTGGTCATAGTCAAAGGTAGAATGTTAGCGTCGGCTGCTAGACTTTTAAAAATTTAAGACTCAATTTAAAAAAAACTGAAACCTTAAACTAAAATTATGGCTTCGACATTCCCTAGTTCTCAAAATTATCTTTCTTTTGACACAAAAATCATGAAAATCCGTCGATTGGTTGATTCAGAATCGTGAAATAAAAAAAAACCCTGTCACGTTTTAATATATACTAGTGTACATGTTGCTCGAAATCGAGCAATTGCAAAGAAGTACAGGATATATTTTTAAACAAATGACTTGTTTAAAAACTAATAATAACAGCCATAATTTCCGATGATTTTAAAAGAGTCGACTAAAAGATTATTAACTGATGGAAATACTCACAATTTACATACCAGTCCTATTCCAGTTTAAAGGGTTATTTTTTAACTATCAAACTGCTCATGGACGGGAACAGGTAAGCTTACAATTTAAGTCAACATAAAAAAGCTGCCAGCTTTTATAATGTACCGTACCTAAGTTATTTAGCCAATTTGTAGACAATAAGGTGTAGGCTACTTTAAACTCTACAGAACAGAGTTAGGCAAAACCTGGCAGAGCTCTAAAATTGTGTTATTTATCATAGGCATACTCTTATGCCAAATTCTTAAAATAAAAATTCATTAATTAATAGCTTATATCATTAAACACAAACCATCATCCAAAACTATACACATTTTAATACAACATAGATAATTATTTACACATTACTGTTTACAATTAACATGTTCTTCTTCTCACTTTTAATTTTGGCTTCGCAACGGGAAAAATCGGTTTCATAATAATCGAAATAGATTCATAATAAATAATCTATCCTCAAGTTTAAGATTAAATAAACCTACCACAAATTGTTTTATTTTTTTGGATCAGCTGTCTGAAATTGCGAAATAGGCATTTGACAGTTCTGGTTGTTTACTTTTAAATGTCAAAGCAAATGTAAATATTGTGAATTTTCTCATGCTTCCATGGAGACCAATTAATATTTAATTTCTGACAACAGCTGGAGTTTCAAAACAATGTTTGTTTCCCATGTTAATCTTATGGAGAAATATGAAACTTTAAAGGGCCCCAGGGCCTCACTCTCTAATTATTTATCTAAAAAGAAAGTTTCCTGCACAACTTCACGTTACGCTCTTTTCAATGACACCAAAAACGTGTCAATCGGTTCAGTAGTTTCAGAGGAGTAATTGTCACAAAAATCCTGCTTGCGTATTAAATAAGTATAGATGATTCAGAGGGTAATTCAGATGAAATCATCAGTATTCTTGGGATTAAGACTCTCCTTTAAACTTACAACTGATAATTTTTGCTACAATCAATTTTGGTGTAATTTTTTAAATCCTCAGTCTGGTAACGTTGAGCTTTGGTGGATTTAATTTTCGCATTAGTATTATTGGAGCTCCTTCTTTTAATCACAGTAATGTGGAGGGTTAATGACACAAAGTTGAGAGGCATTTAAATACCCGAGATAGCACGCACAATTATTATTCACTTAATAATTTATTAGATTGTGTGGGTACAGAACAAAAGATAAAAATACTAAGGCATTGCCGTACCTTATATTGTTTATAATACTTTGATAAAGGTTTTTATGTTTACATATTTAACATTGGAGAATTTAAACGTTGATGAGTGCACTGGTGTGCTGCGATTGGGGTTTAATATTGGACTTTTTCACAAGTAAAATTGTTTTCTGTGCTGCACTCTGTGGAAAAATTGTGGCACTATTTCAAATTATTACTAATACAGCATGTTGTGACTATTCAACCTACAAAACAGTTGCCAGGTAACAGCTAATCATATTTATTTGTAAACATTGTAGTTCAAAAAGTCTGACATTGGTCCACTTGAAGCCCTCTGGGGCGGAGCCCTTTTGACGGATCATTAGACATTAGACATTATTTATTTGCACATAACATTCTTTTAGATGTGATAACATATAGAACAGGTGCATTGTCAAAATTGAGCCTAGACTAGAAAAATACAAAGTACAAAGTAACAGGAAAAAAATAACTAGCCAAATAATGTTAAGAAAATTAAAAACAAAAATAAACTCAAGGGATGGTTATAAAATTCTTCTATTTTATAAAATGCACGTTCAAGGAGTCCATTTTTCAATGTTTCTTGAAACTTGTTTGAACTCATTATTTTATAATATACCGGTAGTTTATTATACATTTTTAAACCTGCATACAAAGGACTTTTTTCAAATAAGGTCAAATGGTGATTTGGTAATCTGAAAATTGTTTCGTTTCTTGTACTATAATTGTGTGTGAATTTGAATGAATCCGGGAGGTTATTTTTTATATTGTGTATGTAATTTAATAATTCAAATATGTATAGTCCTGTAAGTGTTTGGATTTTTTAATTTTGAAAATGTAATTTACAAGGACTTCTGGGGTGGGAATTAGTCATAATTCGGATGATTCTTTTCTGAAGTCTGAAAATAGTTTTTGCATCAGATGCCTGTCCCCACAAAATCACACCATACCTCAAGATGGATTCTACATAGGCATGATAAACCATTTTAAGTACTTCAATGGTGACACATTCTCTCAAGTGGACAAAGACAGATGATGCAGATCTAATTTTTTTCTTTATAACATCTAGATGCACCTTCCAGTTAATATTTTCATCTAGATGAATGCCTAGGAATTTATTTGAATGGACTAAATTGGAAAAATTATTTAATTCTCTTTCATTTCTGGCTGAAAATTTAATAATTTGGGTTTTATCCACATTGAGTTTAAGGCCATTTATTTTAAACCAATTTTCCATTTCTTTTATAACTTCTGTGAGAGATGTAAGAAGCTATTCTCTACTATTTTCTTTAATGATTGCAGTAGTATCGTCAGCAAACAGAATCAGATCTCTATTAATAGCTTTAGGGAGGTCATTTATGTAGATTAAAAAGAAAAGGGGACCTAAAATGGAGCCTTGAGGCACCCCAAGCTTTATACATTTCCAATGTGAGAAATGTCTGGTTCCTCCATCAGAAATTACAGTTCTTTGTTTCCGATCTGAAAGGTATGATCTAATTAGGGAAAGACAACTTCCTGAAATTCCATAGTCATGTAGTTTTTGAAGCAAAAGCGAATGATCGACACAATCAAAGGCCTTGG